CCTCTCTCCCCACTCTCTTAGATGGCATGAAACCAGTGAGAAACAGGATATATACACTGAGAGGTGTATTTTTTTTTTATTCGCCGGTATTCTCCCGGCCCGGGTCTTTTCCAAGTAGTGGTGACCCGGCCTTGGCTCCCTATCTGGGGAGTGTCTCGAGACTTAAGTCTCCATGGGAGGAGGTACAAGTACCTCCTCATCTTTGGGACCAAGTGTCCCCAGGCCTAGCCACATTCCCTGCCCTCACGGGGCTCGTAGGGAGAAGCTAGGCCTCTGGTCTACCATCTGCCCCGCCCCAAGAGGTGTATATATATCTCAGTGTATACATGCTGAGATCGTAATCCCTATTTTAGGGATTAAATTCTTGTCTGGCGGTGGAAAGGTTACTTGCAGCATTACTAAGTTTACTATGGAACAGGTACAGGAGGGGCCCCACTTTACAGCGCTTCACTTTTACGGCATTTCGCTAATGCTAAGGACGAAAATATTTTAAGTAATGTTACTGTAAGATAAGATAAGATTTCGTTCGGATTTTTAACCCCGGAGGGTTAGCCACCCAGGATAACCCAAGAAAGTCAGTGCGTCATCGAGGACTGTCTAACTTATTTCCATTGGGGTCCTTAATCTTGTCCCCCAGGATGCGACCCACACCAGTCGACTAACACCCAGGTACCTATTTGCTGCTAGGTGAACAGGACAACAGGTGTAAGGAAACGTGTCGAAATGTTTCCACCCCCCGGGAATCGAACCCGGGCCCTCCGTGTGTGAAGCGGGAGCTTTAGCCACCAGGCCACTGTATATTCATTTTTAAGGCCTAGCTCTATTGCTCACTTAATACATGATAGTGTAAACATAATATCAGGCTTTTATATATATTTGAAAGTAAAAAAAAATGTATGTTTCACTTTACAGCAATTTTTGCTTTACAGTAGTAGCCCAGAACCTAACCTGCTGTATAAGTGGAGCCCTACAGTAGCCTGGAACCTAACCTGCTGTATAAGTGGAGCCCTACAGTAGCCCAGAACCTAACCTGCTGTATAAGTGGAGCCCTACAGTAGCCTGGAACCTAACCTGCTGTATAAGTGGAGCCCTACAGTAGCCTGGAACCTAACCTGCTGTATAAGTGGAGCCCTACAGTAGCCCAGAACCTAACCTGCTGTATAAGTGGAGCCCTACAGTAGCCCAGAACCTAGCCTGCTGTATAAGTGGAGCCCTACAGTAGCCCAGAACCTAACCTGCTGTATAAGTGGAGTCCTACAGTAGCCCAGAACCTAACCTGCTGTATAAGTGGAGCCCTACAGTAGCCCAGAACCTAACCTGCTGTATAAGTGGGGCCTACCTACCTGGAGGGTATTCCGGGGATCAACGCCCCCGCGGCCTGGTCCACGACCAGGCCTCCCGGTAGATCAGGGCCTGATCAACGAGGCTGTTACTGCTTGCCGCATGCAATCCAACGTATGAACCACAGCCAGGCTGATCTGGCACCGACTTGAAGACAACCAGGGGTCTACTGGTAATGCCCCTGCCTGTACACATAAGAACAATTATCATATATAGTATAAATTACCCAGGATAACCCAGAAAAGGTCAGAAAAAGTGATTTATTTCCATTGACTCTCATGTAGTTGATCGGCATCAAACCCCTCTCCCCCTGGTGACCAACCAACTAGTGTGAAAAATATTAACCAAGAGGAGTTACTGCCTGGACATGTTAGATCCGTGGCGCCATCTCTTGGCAGCGAGTTGAGTTGTTAATTCAGAGACTTGCCACACGGTGGTGCTGGCATCGGTCTTGCCAAGCTTTTCTTTTAAAACAGTTTTGAACTTACTATATCTCTCTCGTTGCTGAAAATCGAAATACTGGTGTGGAAAATAAACGATTTGAATTGTGTTTTGCATCAGCGATTTATTTAATAAAAAAAAAATAATTGGATGAAAATAGAGGATAAGAGAACGCCGCCTCCAGCACTACACTTCACTACACTTCGTCCCGTACCACAATGTATCGCTCAGCACCTTAATGTTTTTTTTTACTTATACTCTTCATTAATGTTATTTTTTTTAGGTTGTGTTTATAGTTAATTTTGCATTGTTCTCTAATGTTTTGATGTGTCTGGTACAGGTGATCGACTTGAAATGTTTCGGAGTTTATGCAGGGAAGTAGAGAGATGTTGAACGATGTTGAGAGGGAGTGAGTGAAGTGTAGTGGTGTGCTGGGGCAGCTAAGTTGTCTGCCCTGCTGGACTTGTTCAGTGGAGGAGACGACGCTGCCATTGCTGCTGCTGCTGCTGCTGCTACTGCTGCTGCTGCTGCCACTGCTTCTCCTGCTGCCACTGTTCCTCCTGCTTCCTCTGCCCCTGCTGTTGCCACTGCTCCTGCTGCTTCCTCTGCACCTGCTGCTGCCACTGTTCCTCCTGCTTCCTCTGCACCTGCTGCTGCCACTGTTCCTCCTGCTTCCTCTGCACCTGCTGCTGCCACTGTTCCTCCTGCTTCCTCTGCCCCTGCTGTTGCCACTGCTCCTGCTGCTTCCTCTGCACCTGCTGCTGCCACTGTTCCTCCTGCTTCCTCTGCACCTGCTGCTGCCACTGTTCCTCCTGCTTCCTCTGCACCTGCTGCTGCCACTGTTCCTCCTGCTTCCTCTGCCCTGCTGTTGCCACTGCTCCTGCTGCTTCCTCTGCACCTGCTGCTGCCACTGTTCCTCCTGCTTCCTCTGCAGCTGCTGCTGCCACTGTTCTCCTGCTTCCTCTGCACCTGCTGCTGCCACTGCTCCTCCTGCTTCCTCTGCACCTGCTGCTGCCACTGCTCCTGCTGCTGCCATTGCTTCTACTGCTGCTATTGCTCCTGCTACAGCTGCTTCCCCTGCATCTGCTCTTGCCACTACTGCTACTCCACCTGTCACTGTCACTGCACCTCCTGCTACTCCAGCACTCATTTACTATCTTCATCTGTACTACCACGTATTCGTATTTTTTTTGCCTCTACTCTCTACCTTCAAGTATTTCCGTCTCTACTCTTGCTATTCTTCAATGTCACTTCTATCACTCTTTGCTTCCATTATTAAACCTCTCTTGTCATTCCCCATGTTAATTCCTCTCCCCTGTTCGTTACCTTTCCTTCCTTCGCAGGTGATGCCTTGAAGGAGGGCTCTAGATCTTAGGAATTGGAGCTATTCTTCCCTTCCTGCATCTAAATTACTGGGAGTACTTGAAGTCCCTAGACTATACTCCTTAGAACATAGGCGAGAAAGACACATCATAATCCACACCTGGAAGATACTGGAGGAATTGGTACCAAACTTACACACTGGAAATACTACTTATGAACACAAGAGGCTTGATAAATGATGCAGGGTACCTCCAACGTACAGTAGATGAGCGATGAGTACGCTGAGAGAAAGAACTCAATAAGTGTCAAGGGGCCACGACTCTTCAGTACCCTGCCTTCATACATAAAGGGATCACCAACAAACTCCTGGCTGTCAAGAGGCAACTCGACAGATTCCTCAAAAACAGTTCCTGATTAGCCGGGCTGTGGTGCATACGTTGGAGTGCTGGTAGCGGGCACTGACAGGTTGATCGATCAGGCCAGCAACTAGGACGTCTGGTCTGGGCCATGGGGGGCGGTGCCCCCCGGAAGCAACTCCAGGTAGCCCCATACGGACTTAGAGCTTCCCCTTAATAAAATAAATATTCCTAAAAATTATTATTATTATTATTATTATTATTATTATTATTATTATTATTATCAGTAGATTATTTTTATTATTTTTACTGTTGTGGGTGGCATCCTGGGGAGGAGGAAAGATGGCAATGTCAGTAAGCCACATTGGTTCTACTGGCTTAACCTGGGTTACTGACCCTCCAGGTTAATCCAAATTAACATTGTCGTTCAATATTCTACTATGGTCTTTGCTGGGGATGGGGAAGGCCGGGTGGGATTGGGTGGATGATAGGGTAGTGGGATGTGGGTGGGTGGCAGGGTGGGTGGCAGGGTGGGTCGGGGTTGTGAGTCACCTTGAAGGAGAGCATGCTAGTACCTCAGTCTACCGCCTTCCTTTCGTTCCTCTGCTATCCACCTGCTGCTCTCCTATCCACACACCCATCTGCTCTATCCATACACTCATCCATACAGTCCTCTGTCCTATCCATACTACCCTTTGTCCTATCCACACTTCCCTCTGTCCTATCCACACTACCATTTGTCCTATTCACACTACCCTCTGTTCTATCCACACTTCCCTCTGTCCTATCCACACTTCCCTCTGTCGTATCTACAATTCTCTCTGTCCTATCAACACTACCCTCTGTCCTATCCACACTTCCTCTGTCCTATCCAAAGTTCTTTCTCTCCTATGCACGCTACCCTCTGTCCTATCCACACTACCCTCTGTCCTATCCACACTACCCTCTGTCTATCCAGACTTCCCCTGTCCTGTCCACACTTCCCCTGTCCTATCCAAAGTTCTTTCTGTCCTATGCACACTACCCTCTGTCCTATCTACACTACCTTCTGTCCTATCCACACTACCCTCTGTCTATCCACACTTCCCCTGTCCTATCCAAACTTCCCTCTGTCTTATCCACACTACCCTCTGTCCTATGCACACTACCCTCTGTCCTATGCACACTACCCCCTGTCCTATCCACACTACCCTCTGCCCTATCCACACTACCCTCTGTCCTATCCACACATACCTTTCCTCTTCACATAACTTTCATCCAACAATACAACTGCCAGACCCAGGAACTAGCGCACAGAGATGTAAGGAACTACTTTTCCAGCCTAGCTCTAACAGGTAAGTGGAATGATGTGGACGTGGTAAGAGGCCAACACCGAACACTTAAGAGTATGCTAGGGGGCCCAAGAGTACAGAAACCACAGGCGGGGCCAGGAACCATGACTCAACCCCCCCAACCCTCACCCCGCGACTACAAATCGGTCAGTCAGAGTCGTTTTTAATGAGAATTAAGCTGAGAAATATGTGAGATACTTCTATTTACCTGACATGAATAAGAAGCTCAAGGGAGGTTCTTTGACGCCGGTGACGGGGGTCTTGATGCGAGGAACTGGATTTGGCCTTCCCTTTGTTGGATCGAATCCGAATGCCTCCCGTTCCCCGGGAGAAATGTGATCCCTACGGGTTTAACGCTGCCACCTGATTAAAATAATAAATTATGAGAGATTATTATTAGCAGTATTATTATTATTATTATTATTATTATTATTATTATTATTATTATTATTATTATTATTATTATTATTATTATTACTGAGCACTAAATTAGTATAAATCATTGTGTCGGGAGAATGAGAGGTAATTAAGGTTGATGAGAGGAGGAAGAAGGCAGCATGAATTCCTTGCATCAAGAGCTCTTCACCAGCCTTGAAAACCCTCACTAGGTTAAAAGAAAAATCTCATTTTACTCATACATAATAAAAATCAACTCTTTTCCCGGACAACCAACAACACAAATTGTCCAACACAATTCTGCGCAGGGCTGAATTTTTATTAGCCAGATAGAAGGGCATAAAATCAAATTCTGGCGCATAGAAAAACAAGAGGCAAATATGATTTAAGGTTCCAAAAGCCTAATTCCGAGAGGGCAAGCCTAATTATAAAGCAAACAACGTGTAGCACCTGCCAATTTTCCTGGCAAGGAATCTTAGCCAACCTGTCTAGGTTAAATATTTACTCCTCTTATATATTCACTCCCTCTTTCTCACCTTCAACACAAACAAATTTCTGACACACACACACACACACACACACACACACACACACACACACACACACACACACACACACACACACACACATATATATATATATTTATATATATATATATATATATTTTTTATTTATTTTTATTATCACACCGGCCGATTCCCACCAAGGCAGGGTGGCCCGAAAAAGAAAAACTTTCACCATCATTCACTCCATCACTGTCTTGCCAGAAGGGTGCTTTACACTACAGTTTTTTAAACTGCAACATTAACACCCCTCCTTCAGAGTGCAGGCACTGTACTTCCCATCTCCAGGACTCAAGTCCGGCCTGCCGGTTTCCCTGAATCCCTTCATAAATGTTACTTTGCTCACACTCCACAGCACGTCAAGTATTAAAAACCATTTGTCTCCATTCACTCCTATCAAACACGCTCACGCATGCCTGCTGGAAGTCCAAGCCCCTCGCACACAAAACCTCCTTTACCCCTCCCTCCAACCCTTCCTAGGCCGACCCCTACCCCGCCTTCCTTCCACTACAGACTGATACACTCTTGAAGTCATTCTGTTTCGCTCCATTCTCTCTACATGTCCGAACCACCTCAACAACCCTTCCTCAGCCCTTGGACAACAGTTTTGGTAATCCCGCACCTCCTCCTAATTTCCAAACTACGAATTCTCTGCATTATATTCACACCACACATTGCCCTCAGACATGACATCTCCACTGCCTTCCAGCCTTCTCCTCGCTGCAACATTCATCACCCACGTTTTCACACCCATATAAAGAGCGTTGGTAAAACTATACTCTCATACATTCCCCTCTTTGCCTCCAAGGACAAAGTTCTTTGTCTCCACAGACTCCTAAGTGCACCACTCACTCTTTTTCCTCATCAATTCTATGATTCACCTCATCTTTCATAGACCCATCCGCTGACACGTCCACTCCCAAATATCTGAATACGTTCACCTCCTCCATACTCTCTCCCTCCAATCTGATATTCAATCTTTCATCACCTAATCTTTTTGTTATCCTCATAACCTTACTCTTTCCTGTATTCACCTTTAATTTTTTCTTCTTTTGCACACCTACCAAATTCATCCACCAATCTCTGCAACTTCTCTTCAGAATCCCCCAAGAGCACAGTGTCATCAGCAAAGGCAGCTGTGACAACTCCCACTTTGTGTGTGATTCTTTATCTTTTAACTCCACGCCTCTTGCCAAGACCCTCGCATTTACTTCTCTTACAACCCATCTATAAATATATTAAACAACCACGGTGACATCACACATCCTTGTCTAAGGCCTACTTTTACTGGGAAAAAATTCCCCTCTTTCCTACATACTCTAACTTGAGCCTCACTATCCTCGTAAAAACTCTTCACTGCTTTCAGTAACCTACCTCCTACACCATACACTTGCAACATCTGCCACATTGCCCCCCTATCCACCCTGTCATACGCCTTTTCCAAATCCATAAATGCCACAAAGACCTCTTTAGCCTTATCTAAATACTGTTCACTTATATGTTTCACTGTAAACACCTGGTCCACACACCCCCTACCTTTCCTAAAGCCTCCTTGTTCATCTGCTATCCTATTCTCCGTCTTACTCTTAATTCTTTCAATTTATAACTCTACCATACACTTTACCAGGTACACTCAACAGACTTATCCCCCTATAATTTTTGCACTCTCTTTTATCCCCTTTGCCTTTATACAAAGGAACTATGCATGCTCTCTGCCAATCCCTAGGTACCTTACCCTCTTCCATACATTTATTAAATATTGCACCAACCACTCCAAAACTATATCCCCACCTGCTTTTAAACATTTCTATCTTTATCCCATCAATCCCGGCTGCCTTACCCCCTTTCATTTTACCTACTGCCTCACGAACTTCCCCCACACTCACAACTGACTCTTCCCACTCCTACAAGATGTTATTCCTCCTTGCCTTTTACACAAAATCACAGCTTCCCTATCTTCATCAACATTTAACAATTCCTCAAAATATTCCTTCCATCTTCCCAATACCTCTAACTCTCCTTTTAATAACTCTCCTCTCCTATTTTTAACTGACAAATCCATTTGGTTCTTAGGCTTTCTTAACTTGTTAATCTCCCCCAAAACTTTTTCTTATTTTCAACAAAATTTGTTGATAACATCTCACCCACTCTCTCATTTGCTCTTTTTTTTACATTGCTTCACCACTCTCTTAACTTCTCTCTTTTTCTCCATTACTCTTCCCTCCTTGCATCACTTCTACTTTGTTAAAAACTTCTCATATGCTAACTTTTTCTCCCTTACTACTCTTTTTTACATCATCATTCCCACCAATCGCTCCTCTTCCCTCCTGCACCCACTTTCTGTAACCACAAACTTCGCTGAACACTCTAACACTACATTTTTAAAAACTACCCCATTACCTCTTCGACCCCATTGCTATGCTCTCATTAGCCCATCTATCCTCCAATAGCTGTTTATTTTCTTACCCTAACTGCCTCCTCTTTTAGTTTTAAACCTTTACCCCTCTCTTCCCTGATGCTTCTATTCTCCTTGTTTTCCCATCTACCTTTTACTTCAGTGTAGCTACAACTAGAAAGTGATCTGATATATCTGTGGCCCCTCTATAAAAAATGTTCATCCTGAAGTCTACTCAACAGTCTTTTATCTACCAATACATAATCCAACAAACTACTGTATTTCGCCCTACATCATATGGTTATACTTATTTATCCTCTTTTTTTTAAAATATGTATTTACCTATAAAATAAACCCCTTTCTATACAAAGTTCAATCAAAGGGCTCCCATTATCATTTACACCTGGCACCCCAAACTTACCTACCACACCCTCTCTAAAAGTTTCTCCTACTTTAGCATTCAAGTCCCCTACCACAATTACTCTCTCACTTGGTTCAAGGCTCCTATACATTCACTTAACATTCCCAAAATCTCTCTCTCTCCTCTGCATTCTCTCTTCTCCAGGTGCATACACGCTTATTATGACCCATTCTCGCATCCAAACCTTTACTTTAATCCACATAATCTTGAATTTACACATTTCATATTCTCTTTTCTCCTTCCATAACTGATCATTTAACATTACTGCTACCCCTTCCTTTGCTTAACTCTCTCAGATACTCCAGATTTAATCCATTTATTTCCCCCCACTGAAAACTTCCTACCCCCTTCAGCTTTGTTTCGCTTAGGGCCAGGACATCCAACTTCTTTTCATTCATAACATCAGCAATTCATCTGTTTCTTGTCATCCGCACTACATCCACGCACATTTAAGCAACCCAGTTTTATAAAGTTTTTCTTCTTCTCTTTTTAGTAATTGTATACAGGAGAAGGGGTTACTAGCCCATTGCTCCCGGCATTTTAGTCGCCTCATACGACACGCATGGCTTACGGAGGAAAGATTCTTTTCCACTTCCCCATGGACAATAGAAGAAATAAAAAGAACAAGAGCTATTTAGAAAAAGGAGAAAAACTAGATGTATGTATATATATATTATGCATGTGCGTGTCTATGAAGTGTGACCAAAGTGTAAGTAGGAGTAGCAAGATATCCTGTTATCTTAGCGTGTTTATGAGACAGAAAAGAAACCAGCAATCCTACCATCATGCAAAACAGTTACAGGTTTTTGTTTCACAGTCATCTGGCAGGACGGTAGTATATATATATATATATATATATATATATTATATATATATATATATATATATTATATTCAAGGTACATGTTATATATGCATGCTGAAAGATTAATGCTGTTCCTGTATTACTGTTGCTGTAGGATTACTGCTGCTGTAGGATTACTGCTGCTGTAGGATTACTGCTGCTGTAGGATTACTGCTGCTGTAGGATTACTGCTGCTGTAGGATTACTGCTGCTGTAGGATTACTGCTGCTGTAGGATTAACGCTGCGGCAGGATTAATGCTACTGCAGGATTAACGGTGCTGCGGCAGGATTAATGCTGCTCTAGGATTAATGCTACTGTAAGATTAATGCATCTACAGGATTAATAGTGCCGCAGGATTAATGCTGCGGCAGCATTATGGTTACTACTTGCTGGCTTCGAGATATTGTCATCTTTTCATTATTTCTCGAACAAAAACTAGTTTAAAAAAAATACATAAAAACATTCTTGACGTACAGCTCGAGGAGTCGTATCACTGAGTCTATCAACACAACTATTTTCTCAGCTATGCCTTTAATAGATCCCAAAGAGGAATTTCAAGTCTATTTTCACTGTGAAAATATAAACAGACCCATTTATATTAAAGGACAAAGGTTAGCCCGGCGTGATGGCAACAAGATGGGTGCTGGGTGCTGTGGGTGCCGCTTAAAGCTTCGAAGGAAATTCTCTCTCAGTTTGAGTTGGACCTCTGCCGAGTGTGGGTATGTTAGTCCTCTCGCTCTCGTAGTCGCTGGCCTGGATATACTCGGTGAACCTCCCTGATAAGATGTGTTTCTGAAATTGTTGTGCGCTGAACCGGTTCATTGTGTCAAATGTGAATACCCGCGAGTGAAACATAGCTGGATATTTGTGTTCGCTAAGCCAGGGAGATTAGTGGTGAGTGATATTATGTATGTGAGGATACAAATGATGTGTGTATTGTGGAATCTCACAGGCTACTAGTGTAAGGCTTTAATAATATCATCCTCGAATGGTGTGGATTCTTGCATCTGGTCCACGTTACCTCTGGAAGAGCATCGTGTGCCTGGATAACGCAGTAGTAATACGTTCAGCTGGCGGCGATGACTGGTATATACAGGTGCTACTCTCTCTCACCCTGGCTACCAGAGCGGTTGAAGAAAATAATTAAGATTTTCATTTATATTTTACATTCCGTCTCGGGAGTCACTCTGGCCCGTGTCTCAGAATGTGGATTTTCTAGTTTATAGATTATTTACTTTTTGCCAAGAATAACAATAGTCAAAAAAGTTATTGTTTGAAGCTATATATATTTGAAATTAGAGTGCATGTGACAGAAGGAAATGATAACTGGATTAGTATTCGCGGACCTCTATAACCCCCCAAAAACCCAAGCAATGGGGCTTATATCCATTGTGGTTTTCGTGAGGTCTTGCCCCAGGATACGACCCACAACAGTCAACCAACGCCTAAGTACCAATTTACTGCTAGGCAACAGGGGCACCAGGTTTTACAAGATGTAGCCATAAACGTCTTGCGTCGCCCAGGACTCGACGCCGTTCCTTTCGACTGTCGAGGCGAAAACTCGGAACTTTGAGACGCCTCGTCATAAGTGGAGTGTTGGGAGTCAGTTTTTGTTGGCGTGCCCTGTAAACAGAAGAGGGGTTAACAGATGAAGAATATGAGTCACAATACCGTGGCTGGAACATTTCACAACCCACAATTTGGTGCGTAGTTGACAGCCAACGTTTCAGTCTCAACAATGGTCCGGGAAGGACCGAAACGTCCTCTAAAGTTTCCAGAACACTAGGTCGCTTGCGAATGGTTTACACTCACCACAAGAATAGTGGATCTGAAGTTTACTTCTGATAATGAAAATCAATAGGGAAGAAGTTTACGTTTTGTGAAAACTCTCCTAAAACAAACTTTCTCCATTAATGCACTCGGTTTTAATATATATATATATATATATATATATATATATATTATATATATATATTATATATATATATATATATATATATATATATGTTGAATTGTACATGCAGAACAGGTTTTCTGTTATCACAGTGGGGGGTGATGGGGGTAGAGAGGGGAGAAGGGGGGAGGGAACAAAGTAGGTAGCTGTATCATGTCTTCAGAAACGCCCACGTTACTCAGTGTTAAGTCTCCTCCAGAGTGTTGCTTGTTGCTTGTTGCCTGTCACTGGGGAGGCTGGCGTGTTGCAACGCTTATGTTAAGCAGTGTCCACATATGTGCTACTGCTCCGCGGGACTGCTGTAGCTACTGCAGTTTCTCTCTTCGTCTTTCTTATTTATTCAGCACGGTTGGATGCACCAACAGTGTGCTGCTATACTATTCTATATGATAGTTACATTGTGGGAACACCAGCAGTGTGCTGCTATACTATTCTATATGATAGTTACATTGTGGGAACACCAGCAGTGTGCTGCTATACTATTCTATATGATAGTTACATTGTGGGAACACCAGCAGTGTGTGCTATACTATCTATATGATAGTTACATTGTGGGAACACCAACAGTGTGCTGCTATACTATTCTATATGATATTTACATTGTGGGAACACCAGCAGTGTGCTGCTATACTATTCTATATGATAGTTACATTGTGGGAACACCAGCAGTGTGCTGCTACACTATTCTATATGACAGTTACATTGTGGGAACACCAGCAGTGTGCTGCTACACTATTCTATTTGATAGTTACATTGTGGGAACACCAGCAGTGTGCTGCTATACTATTCTATATGATAGTTACATTGTGGGAACACCAGCAGTGTTGCTACACTATTCTATTTGATAGTTACATTGTGGGAACACCAGCAGTGTTGCTACACTATTCTATATGATAGTTACATTGTGGGAACACCAGCAGTGTGCTGCTACACTATTCTATTTGATAGTTACATTGTGGGAACACCAGCAATGTGTTGCTACACTATTCTATATGATAGTTACATTGTGGGAACACCAGCAGTGTTGCTACACTATTCTATATGATAGTTACATTGTGGGAACACCAGCAGTGTGCTGCTACACTATTCTATATGATAGTTACATTGTGGGAACACCAGCAGTGTTGCTACACTATTCTATTTGATAGTTACATTGTGGGAAAACCAAAGTGTTGCTACACTATTCTATATGATAGTTACATTGTGGGAACACCAGCAGTGTGCTGCTACACTATTCTATATGATAGTTACATTGTGGGAACACCAGCAGTGTGCTGCTACACTATTCTATATGATAGTTACATTGTGGGAACACCAGCAGTGTGCTATACTATTCTGTATGTTACACAGTGGGAACAAAAGCTGTGTTTCCCTGTCATATTCTATCACACAGGATAGGGTTCATACGAGGTGTTGAGATGTGTCAGCCTCAGCTGGGAGGCTTCAGTAGCGTCAGGCAGAGTTGGGACACAGTAGGGATACCTGGAGTTTACCTGCAGGTATGTTGATATCCTCAGATATTTTATCAAAGGTTCATCCAATACGCCTTGCAAGAAAAGTGCGTTCGTATTTCGTCTTTATGACTTGATCATTTTTTACACAGAGCGAAACGTTGCAGTGCGCGCGCGTGTGTGTGTACTCACCTAATTGTGGTTGCAGGGGTCGAGACTCAGCTCCTGGCCCCGCCTCTTCACTGATCGCTACTGGGTCCTCTCTTTCTCTGCTTCCTGAGCTTTGTCATACCTCTTCTTAAAACTATGTATGGTTCCTGCCTCCACTACTTCACTTGCTAGGCTATTCTTCGTGCCTACCTGTGGATATATATATATATATATTATATATATATATATATATATATATATATATATATATATATATATATATATATATATATATAATGTAGTTCCTTGACAATGTGAGTAGTCACGAAATCGCTTGGAATTTCACTACTCTTTCACAGTGGTTGTTTTGCATATATATATATATATATATATATATATATATTTATATATATATATATATATTATATATATATATATATATATATATATCAGTGTCTACACGCCGAAAGAGTAATTCCCACTTAAGGTATAACAGTATATACTCGACTTTAGTGTACAAGGAAATTGTGCCCTGAGAGATATACATCTCTCAAGTGTGTGTGTATATCTCTGTATATACACATCAGGAATGTGTATATACACAGAGATACACATCTTTCAGCGATTATACACAAAGACACACCTTTAAGTGTATATATATACTAAGAGATAAACATCCCCATCGTATATACACTGAGAGATGAACGCCTCTCATCGTATATACACTGAGATGAACCCCCTCCCCCCATCGTACAAACACTGAGATACACACCTCCTGGTGTACGTATTCTCTGATGTTGTCTTGCAGTGCTGGAAGAAGTTAAGGTGCAGTGATATGTGGAGGGGCTGTTGGTGCCGTGTCTGGAGGGTTCATCAACACTGAGGTTGCTGTTAGTATGCTGTGAGCTGCTGCTTACATTGTCCTTCGTTAAGAAATTCCTGCTGCCCATCTGGGCATCTCTCTGTCAAGGGGTGCCTTGATGCTGAGAAAAAACTCTTGTGATCTACCCTGTATCTCATTAGGGAACTCTTGTGATCTTCCATATCTCTCATTAGGGAACTCTTATGATCTACTCTGTATCCCATCAAGGCTTCCTTGATGCTGAGAATTATTTCTCAAGACACTGCCTCGTCTACCCAAATTATCAACATCAGAGGTGCCACTGGGTAGCGCCCTTAGTCCGCCAATGTTTATCATCGCTGTAAACGACCTAGGAAATGTCTCCCAAGAGCTTACACCACTGGTGTTTGCAGATGGCACCCTTCCCTTCCGGAGAAGGGGGCCATGATGATGTTGAAGGGCAGGTGATCACAGAATTTGGAGTTACACTCCATTCTTTAGGATCAAACCTGATTGGCTTTCATTCTCTAGGTGGCCCGGTGGCCTGGTGGTTAAAGCTCCCGCTTCACACACGGAGGGCCCGGGTTCGATTCCCGGCGGGTGGAAACATTTCGACACGTTTCCTTACACCTGTTGTCCTGTTCACCTAGCAGCAAATAGGTACCTGGGTGTTAGTCGACTGGTGTGGGTCGCATCCTGGGGGACAAGATTAAGGACCCCAATGGAAATAAGTTAGACAGTCCTCGATGACGCACTGACTTTCTTGGGTTATCCTGGGTGGCTAACCCTCCGGGGTTAAAAATCCGAACGAAATCTTATCTTATCTTATCTTGTATGACCATTACGAGTTAATTTGCTTAAAAATAATAATAATAATAATGGAGTTTAACTTCCAGACAGAAGTGTGTTAATGCTGATGAATGATTATGTGGAAAATACAAATTTTATACGAAATAATAATAATAATAATAATAATAATAATAATAATAATAATAACTAATTATTAAAAAGAAATTTTTATACGAAATAAAAATATGTAATATGTTGAAAGATAATTAATAAGATAACAGCAAAAACGAGGATAATCTTCACGTGTAAAGATAACAGAAAAGATAACAGCTACAAACAGATTATTATAAGGTGAACATGTAGACCGTGTTGTCACTGTTATTTACACTGTTAAATCTTTCTTGAAGACAATTAGAAGACTGGTAAATTATGGGAGAAAATGACGAAAGAACAGTGTTACAAATAGGAACTTGTGTGTGTGTGTACTCACCTATTTGTGGTTGCAGGGGTCGAGTCACGGCTCCTGGTTACGCCTCTTCGCTGGTCATGTATGTGTGTGTGTGTATGTACTCACCTAATTGTGGTTACAGGGGTCGATTCATAGCTCCTGATCCTGCCTCTTCGCTAGTTCCTACTAGGTCCACTCTCTCCTTGCTCCACGAGCTTTATCATACCTCTTCTTAAAGCTATGTATGGATAGTATGTGTTG